GGGAAAGAGAGGTAGACAATGAGAATGTAAAAATTAAAATGCCAGCATTAAATGAATGAAATTGCCAGCGTACAAAAGAAAACAATCAAAAAATGCTTCAGTTATAATCTACAAACTACCGAAATTCAAACCAATCAACTCTGTTGAATTTCATTTAATTTATATTATTCGATATATACAAATTGTATATTAAACTTGTTATGTTGAAATATTAGTTATTTTCAAAGATAGCCTATTTAAAAAGTCAATATTTATCAAATATTGATCTGGTTATAAAGACAATGTATAATATATTAGAATTTTTCCATATTTTACAATCCTTCTACCTTATCAAAATATTAATATATAATAGATTGCATATTTTTCAGATTAAATTAAAGCAAAATTTAGTTTTATTTTAAAATCAATTTTGTTAAACTAATTTTTCTTAAGTAAATAAAATTTAAAAAATCTTATTTAATTAACAATCATACTGTTAGCCGGTATTTAAAGTGTTATTTCAGTATTAACATAAAAATATTCGAATTTTACGAATTGTTTAATAAATTTAATAAATTAATTGTTTTGCTAGTATCACTATTAATCTATGAAAGTTTTTATATTTGAGAGTTAAGGATGTTTTTTCTTATTTTATTTATATTTAATATTTTATTTTCATGTTAATCTGAAAATACTTTTCATACTTTTATATTTAGCGATTGATTTAGATAATTTTCAAATTATACCAATATTTTAAATTATTAGCATTAACAAGGAAACATCATAATTCATATTTGTGTATATCATCAAAATGACGTGGTTAAATTTTTATTTTTTTTTCGTGATTATATGAAATTTGTTTTTGTACAAATTTCTTTCGTCATTATATTTTTGTTATAACGTAAATTATAATTTTTATATATAAATGAGACCCAGTATTTTCATAGAAACATAATTTTTGGATTATAACCAACTTTGAATTCTCACCATGCCTCACTATAGTTTATTTCTCTGCGTTATTTTCGGATTCCTTTTATTCAGTATACAAGATATTTCGGCTGTACGTAAATATATAATTTATTTTTTATTTACCAGTAAAACTTTTTTCAAAAATACAATCGAAAAAAAATTTAAATATTAATTTTTTTCAACAAATCTAAATTTAATATATTCAATGTGTTATTACAAAATACAAAATAAAATAAATAGACATAAATAAATGAAGTTAAAATCGACGCTTCTTTAATTAAAGCATCATCTTCAGTATGGATTATGAATTATATAAATTTTTAAATATCAATAAAAAAAAGCTTAGACGTTTAAAATAGTATGGTGACTAATATATATTAAATAAAATTGTAAGTAATGATTTTTATTTTTAAAAGCATATAATAAACAATTTCGTAATATTATTCTATAAACACAATAATATACAATAATAACAGCTATGAAATAAAATATACAAGATTAAACAAAATGAAATTTCATAAAAAATTTTGGTCTATCCATCTCTGATAGAATATCGATTATATTTTAGATATTGAATATATTTATTTAATGAATTTTTATATATACTTATTCCATATACAGCTTATTTATTACTTTCATTTATACAATATCGTTTGTAAGTTATGACTTGTTTAAGATACTGTTTATACCGTATAATTATTACTGCAGATATTCATTAATTTTATTAGTAATAATTAGTTAGTTTAATACTATTATCATGTGTTGCAAAAATAGAACCCAGCTTCTTCTCTTGAATGCCGTCATAATGCTGAAATAGCATGTGCATCAAAGCCAGAAGGAGAGGAAAGGCAGGCTTGTATTGTATGTGACTTGATAATTCATATTTACCTTCAATTATTATACTTTTATTCACTGAATGCTTTTCTTTTTAGTTCGATTATATCGCCAAACATTGCCGTTTGTAATTATTTGGAGTTGTATTAGCCTTCAAAATTTGGGCAGAATATTTGTGAAATTGAAAATTATGAAAATAATTAATGATTTATTAATTATAAATGATATTTATACAATTGATTATGTATTGAGAACTATTTACAAATAAATATATAAATTATTTCATAAATACGAAAGAATTTTATTAATTTTATTATTTATTATTGAATTATTTCCACTAGTTTTTATTGATAACAATGTATACATTATATTATCTCATAATATAGCATAATCCATAAGTTTATCCAAACAAGAATATTTTTATACCTATTGATATAAATTACACAATAAATAAAAAAATTTGTTAAATTTAAATGTACATGTAATTCTTTACTTTACTATTTTTTTATTAATTGTAATAAACTAGGTAATAGATAGATAATTTTATATTATGAAGTTATGCAATATTAAAGATGCATTTATTGAAGACATTACTACGATATTATTGTACATATTACAATTTTTATAATAATTTTATTAATCTTATAATCGCATAATGTATTATATTTTAAAATGGAGGATTTTATTATATTAATATTTGTATTCATTATTTGCAGCGTATGATCTGTAAAATACACGAATTCTAACATAGTTTGAATTATTTTGAATAATTATTTTGAATTTTAATAATTATTTCTAATAATTAATTTTTAGTATTAAAAAATATTAAGCCTAAAGTTGGATCATATCAATTTTCTCACAATAATGAGAATATTTACTGTGGTCCGGACTGTTAACTGTTAATTTTTCTTAAAGCATAATAATCTCTGAAAAGGCCTAAATATATATTGTATTCGAATTCCCTATTGAGAAATTAAAATAAAAATGGCGTATTTGCTTTTTTAATTTTAATAGATTAAAAAGTAAGTATAAAAATTTCTAAACAGAAGATTTTTGTGAAAGGACTTAGATATAATTCCGAAGATTTTAATGGATTTTAAAGAAAATTATAAAATCAGTATTAATTGATTGTATCACATCGGGATTAAATACTTAAAAGTAAAACTTGTAATATTGTGTTTCTAGGCTATTGCATTAAATCATCAATCCATAAAAGTCGAAAGAAAATTAAGGGAATGAATCATGAACAAGCATCACCTATAGGTCAAAATCTGACAATATAATGACAATGACAAAATGACAATATAATTAAGGGAAGTTGATTTTTTCACGACTAACTAATGAGTGATCTATGTCATTCTTAAGTCTCAGTGTGAGTTATTGTATATTAGCGAGGAAAAATTAATCAGATTATTTGAATAAAATCACATATTTATGCTGTTTATAGCTTTGATATTCGTTACCTCGTAAATTTAATATAAGATTAAATTAATACGTAAGTTGATTTTACTGCATATTAAAAAAGTACTTATCAAGTAAACATAAATTTATTTAATTATATTAACAAACATCATAAAAATATATAGATAATTTATATTTAAAAGAGTAACCATTTCAATTATATTCACAATAACATTAAATCTTTGACAATGTTTTCCTACAATTTCATTTTATACATATTATTTGGGTTAATAATATTATTATTTACCGATAATGTCGCAGTACGTATTATTATAGAATATTTCGAAACTATTGAAATTTTTAATTAATAATTTGAAATGTTTCATTTCAATTCAGTATTGCTCAATAAATATTTAATGATAATTACAATATCTTTTGAATATTATATTAGTAATGTAAAAAATGTATAACTAAAAAATCAATCAGATTAATTATTTTATCAAGTATGCCAGTGTAATATTGCTTATTATCAATAATGTGTTGTAGTTTAATAATTGAATACTTTTTATTGTAATTTTTACAAAGTTTATGTCTTGAGTTAAATAATGTTGGCAAATTTTTTCCAAAATTGGATGTCACTTGTCCTTCTCGATACCTTTTTGTATTTTTATGCATGTATTAAAATCTTTTAAAATTAGCAAATTATTAAAATTATTTCAATTATTCAAATTATTTTTGTACTATCTGATTATGGAATAAAAAAGTATTTGTGAATTTCATGTATATAAATTGTATTAGTTGAATATTATTAAATATAAAAATTTCAAACCTCATGTAAATGACATTTAATTAACTATGTAAAACTAGGTATTTTTCGATAAATACATCAAAATATTATAAATGCAAAGTTTGAGATTAACAAAAATAATTGAAAATGATAATTACAATTTTAAGTAGAGTAAACTTATAGCAAATACTTATTAGTAATTTTTAAATTATTTTACTTTTCATAAACATGGGAATCGGTATATTTATATAATATCTATAATTTAATACTGTTTTGTTCTATTTTATTTTGAAAAAAAATTATTTAGTATTAAGATCATCACAAAATTAAAATCCAACAAATAATATATAATACCTTGTAGAATTAAAAAAAATTATCTTTAAAAAAGGTAATACCTTTTCTTTCTAACTATTAGAAATAGAAAGATTCTAATTTATATAATTTATTTATAAAAATTTTAATTCATCAACCTTATATTTATTTTTAAGATATTACATTTTTACGTGAAAAAGGAAAACTTGAAATAATGTAAGAAATATATAAAATGTCCTTCAGTATACAATAAAAATGTTTTAAAAATAAAATTTTGCATATATTTTTTATTATTATCTCATTGTTTTCTCATCTGATATTAGTATTTTGGGCAATGATATGGAATAAAATTTCTTATAACTTCAGGCAGTATCGGTGGAATGTATGAAGCAGGCAATGGTAAAATGTGATGGTATTAAAGATTCTACAGCAATGGCAATTTGTTTTGTATGTATTTGTAAATTTACATATTAAATTATTTTATAGATAGCAAATAATATATTTAATTAGTATATATTTTTTATTTTTAGCTTGATTACTACAAACAACATCATTGTAACCCATAATAATATACAGTTATGTATGCAATATATTTAAATATATTTCTTAAATATCATTAAACTTTGTTTACACAGAATACATTTTTCTGAAAATTCTTAATTAAAAACCTCTTTTTTATTTATACCCAAAAATTAGTATTTATCACCAACTTCATATTTTTTTTACGAAATTCATATAATCAAATTTAAAATGAAAATACAATTTCGTATTAATATTTCGGTTTTTAATAAATAACGTTATTGCTGAAAATTGTTGAAATGTTTTAATACGCTAAAGCTAAGCTTTAATATTGTATCCTTATTGAAGTTCAGAAAAAAATTCAAATAAAACATTCATTTATTTCATTTAATAAATGTGATTATAAAATGAAATTATATTGCATATTATTATAATAGAAGAATAAGTTTGTGTAATATGCATATACAAATATATTGTATCAGTTATTGGTTGTAGGTTATTATTCATTTGTTATATAAATCAAATCATTTGAATAGATAATGCAATTATACTTGAATATATATAATTAAGAATTACATAAAAAAATTATAATTAATAAAAATAATTATATTTATCAACTTAATTTTATTGTTACAATTTCGATAATCATTTTATCTTATTCATTTAGTCTGCGTTCAAAATAGACATCCAAATAAGAGTTTATCATTTACGATATGATATATTTCAAAACAATTAAAAGTTATTACTTAATACAGATTATGTATTGTGTATTTATTATATAATAATTATTAATAATATTTAAGAAATTATAAGAAAAATATTGATACTTATGAATTTTAATCTTCTATTACCACACAATATCGAATTTAATCGTATAATATATAATATTTCAAATATTATGTAAAAATATTAAAATATTACAAAAAAAATTATCATATTGTTGGAAAGCCATGAATGTAGTAATGAAAATCTGGTGAGCAATTGTATGACAAAATGTTATAATATATAAACACGATCAAAAGCTTTTTAGAATATTATCCATAGTACAATTAATACATAAAGAAATAAAGAGGATTAATGAAATATTTCATCGAAAAGAACATAATTTCGAATTAAAGACTTATTTATCTATAAATTTATTTTATTTTGATTGAATTATAAATACAGAAGATATTTAGTATAGCATAGAGATATTCAAATATCCCAAAATTATACATAATATTTCATTAACATTGTGCATATGTAATTATTTATATTCGTCTATCCTAATGGATGCAACCATGAGACAAGTAATAATTATACTGGAAACAGAAAAATATAGAGATACAGTGTTATAAAAATTATAGTACGTTATTTTAAATAATAAAAGCATTTTCATATATATAAATTACGTACAAAGCAATTTTTTTTTGCTAACTGGTCTGCAATGTTAGCACATTCTTTATTCGCAGCGGCTACACATTGTGGATCGGTCACCTGCAATGATAATAATGTGAGGTACAAAAACGAAGCAAGAGTTATATACTAATACGTCGAATTTTTTTATTTATATAATTCAAATTAAATTATAAATACTGTCAAAATCATGGTAAAAAGTTATATTAGTATTTTAATTATATTTTTAACGTAATGACGGAAGCTCAAAGTTAGTCTCTGTAATTTTGCAATATTAATATTACGAAAAAATTATGGTTATATATAACTCTTCACTTCCTGCCATATGAAAAGAAAAAGTAGCGATTTTCTTATTTAATAACATAATACAACATTTAACTTTGTCCTTACAGTAACACTTGCTTGAGAGATTCCTAGAATAACCACTGCAATAAAGATGTAATAGAAGAAACCGTAACTGATCATGTTGAAATAGTGTCTTATCTACTTAGTTACCGTATGAATTTGATCCCACTTATAATTTAAATTATTGTGAATATGACGCTATGTCGATTGTTTTCCCTTAATACGTGATCGATTGTAATCTTTATATTGGACATTAAATTTCTATTATAATTTATTACAAACTTATAATTAAAAAATTACTTAAAACATAAATACGAAAAAAATGTATGTGTATGTATGACGATATTTACATGATTCCAATTAATCGTACAAATGCATTAATAAAACTAGTAAATATCATAATATTATTAATATTATTAACTTCAATGATGATGCAATAATAATATAATATACACATTTATAAGAGAATAAAATTGGCAAATAATAATAAAATTAAAAAACGTATATATACGAAATTAAAGAAAATCAGATGGAGAACATTAGTTGTAACATAAAACTACAAGATGTATAATATTACTCAAACAATAAATGCATACATAGGAATTAAATAACGAAGACATTTGAAAAAATATAAATATATCTGGTTCTTGACTGCTATCGTAAATTAATTGAATTTCTTATTCTTATAGTAGTTTTCATATAAAATTCTGAGTAAAATGAATATATATATATATATATATGTATATATTATAAATTATAATATAAACTACAATATATTAGATACTACATATTCTCGGTAATAAAAACCGTTTAGAAAGAGTAAAAAAATTTATAATATTCTACCTTTTTCCAAAAATTATATATTTTTAACCTCTTATTAATTACATTGAGTACTATTTAGAAAACATTAGATTGTCTTTGAAAAACTTAAGCTAGTAATAGAATCTTTTATTGATAACATTCCAAATGAAATTCTGCTGAAACATTCTTCTTCTTAGTAAAGTATTGAATTTTAAATAAAAACAAATTAAAAATTTATTTGTGATATTATAATATTAGCAATAAGTCATTGTATTCAAATATTTATTGGCTTTGTATTCTTTTGTGTAAATAAACATGATTAATGAATAATAACAATAAGGAACTTATGCCGATATCATTTATTTATTCAAGAAGTTTACAATAATTTTTAACAATTTCAAATTCATCTACCATTACTTATTATTTGATGTTCATTAACATTTAACAATTTACATGTACTAATTGCAAAAACTATATCAGTTGTGGAAGCAATGATGGCTTTTGTAGTACTGCAACTGCAATTTTACAAATCGCTGTTATTATAATATATAGAAGTATATTTAGTATTGTTAATTTATATTATAAATTACGTACAAAGCATTGATGTTTGTCTTCTGCGTTTTTAATATGGTCGCACGCTTTATGGGCATCGCTTACGCATTTTGGATCAACCTAAATAAAAATAAATTGCAATAGATAAATATTTAAAAATTTTAAAGATAGTATTTACAAGTTTTCATTCTCTATAATAATGTTTATAAACGAGAATTCTTTATTTATTGCAAGATTCTCAACGAATGTACATTTTATCGAAATTTATTATTTAATTAAAAATAAATTAAATAAAACAATATCATTACTCGTAATATAATTCAAAACATTAGTCTCTCTCTCTCTCACTCTCTCTCTTTGTGAAAAAGTAAGTTATAATGAATACTTAATTCTTTTACGTAATAAATATATAATTCATTTATTTGTTATTATAATTAATTTCTTTAAGCTTATCTAATGTTTCGATTCGTATAAAAATTTTATTTTTAAATATTTAAGTTCGTATTCTGACCAGAAAATTTTCGATTACATACCTTTACGGCTTGTGTAATTCCTAGAACAGCCAAAGCAATGAAGATGCAGACAAAGAATCGGAAGCTGAACATAATGAATCTTGAAGTGTTTACTTGTATATACCTGATTCCAGACGCCAATAAATTTTTTTATAATTTCGATGAATGCGATGAATCTAACGTCTCTGTAATATTAACTTTGCGTGCGTGCTTCTTCTAATTTAAAAATGAAAACTCAGTAATATATATATATATATTTATGTGTGTGTGTGTGTGTCTGTGTGATTATTTTAAGGTTTAAAATATTACGTGCTAATGCATTCATATAGCAATTTTATTGTTTTAACAAGTTCAAGATAATAGGCGAATAGATAAAATCAATAGTTGTTTTAAAAATATGAACAAAGACCTTCAACTCCATTATCAAATAATTATACAATTCAAATTTCATTTACTTAAGAATATTAATTCATGGGATAAGTAAATTGTGGTATTATGAATCTTATTTGTTTTTAATGAAAATTTGTATTTGCGTTTTAATGAGAAATTAATATTAAATATATTAAATTATTAAATATAATAAAAATATTAATTAATATTGTACAATAGAAAAGTATCAAAAGTTAGACGGCGCAGAAAATGGATGGTCACCAAATAAGACTTTATCATTTACGATATGATATATTTCAAAACAATTAAAAGTTATTACTTAATACAGATTATGTATTGTGTATTTATTATATAATAATTATTAATAATATTTAAGAAATTATAAGAAAAATATTGATACTTATGAATTTTAATCTTCTATTACCACACAATATCGAATTTAATCGTATAATATATAATATTTCAAATATTATGTAAAAATATTAAAATATTACAAAAAAAATTATCATATTGTTGGAAAGCCATGAATGTAGTAATGAAAATCTGGTGAGCAATTGTATGACAAAATGTTATAATATATAAACACGATCAAAAGCTTTTTAGAATATTATCCATAGTACAATTAATACATAAAGAAATAAAGAGGATTAATGAAATATTTCATCGAAAAGAACATAATTTCGAATTAAAGACTTATTTATCTATAAATTTATTTTATTTTGATTGAATTATAAATACAGAAGATATTTAGTATAGCATAGAGATATTCAAATATCCCAAAATTATACATAATATTTCATTAACATTGTGCATATGTAATTATTTATATTCGTCTATCCTAATGGATGCAACCATGAGACAAGTAATAACTATACTGTAAACAGAAAAATATGAAGATACAGTATTATGAAAATTATATAACCTTATTTTAAATAATAAACATTTTTTCATATATATAAATTACGTACAAAGCAATTTTTTTTTGCCCATGCGTTTTCAATGTGATCGCATTCTTTATTCGCAGCGGCTATGCATTGTGGATCGGTCACCTGCAGTGATAATACATCTAATTATTTTCTGTTTTTTAT